AAAGAAGGAAAACTACCACAACAAGAAGACATAGTCTCAAATTAGAGGGGCAAAGGTTTAAAAGGTTTAAAAATAATATCAGGAAGTATTACTTTACTGAGAGAGTTGTGGATGCATGGAATTGTGATGGGATTCCAGCATGGTCAAAATTTAGTAGGCCAAAATCTCCATGTGGCATATGTGTATGTTGTGTCAGTTAGTTAGCTACACGTAGCTAGGATACTGTCATCAGTGTACTGAGTGTGACGAAATGCCTTTTGTCCCTGGATTGTTAGGTGACAAGCTGCCCTTTGTCCCCGGCTTTTGGAGGAGCCTGATTGCCAGCCTCCTTCCTCATGACTATGGCCCTGGGGTGTATTGCCATTTAAAAAGACTATTTGGGGCTTATTGGCTTCTAAAGACAGTTTCTTCCCATTTGAATCCATGGGAAGGTGTATTTCTTCCCCTCCCCCATTTCCTGTCTATTGTTCTCCAGCAGGGCGTTGTCCCAGGCACACTGCCAAACCAGTTGGAACTGACTGCTTTTGTCCCTCCTTGGTTTCTCAACAGCCCTTGCTATGCTTTACCCCATGGAAAATCTACTCTGTTCATGGGATCTGAGCGCTGTTCACCTAGATTGGGCGCTCAGATCCGAGCTATCTGGGGATAGGTTAAATGTGGGGGTTCTGTGTAATAAAATAAGAATTATGTATTTTTATGTACTTTTACGTATTTTGCTGTTAGTGTTAAATGTAGATATTTTCTGTACCTGGAGATAATTGAGTTTACTGCAGTGCCTTAAGCCAATTATCTCCAGGATGGAGAGGAGGGATTTCATTGTGTATGTGAGAGTGTTATCATGTTAATTAGTGTTCCCATTGGTTTGTGTCCCTTTTGTCACAGTTTACCACCAGGTCCAGGGGGTGTGCCTCTGACCTGAAAACTTGTATATAAGGAGTAATAAACGCTCATTGGAGTCAGATCATCTTGTACCTTCATGAAGTTTCGGCTCATGTTTGGGGGATTGGAGAAACTACACTCTGGGGATTGCTATAATCACTATACTCCCAGGGTATATCACTAAGCTCTGCTAAGAGCTTGTTCCTGTTCCTGCTCTCTGGAATTGGGAGAGAGGTCGACCTGCTGGAAGCTGGACCCTGGTCCTGGGTCCAGAGTGGGTGGAGACGGCGAGACCCCAACCAAGCTGCGGCGGT